TGACATTTTGACATTTTAATATTATCATTCATGGAATGTATTTTATTTACAACTGAGATTTATTTTGAAATGTCTATGATTTCTCTGTGTATTTTAGACTTTATTTTAATATTGGGATATAACTGGTCCCTTCAATATAATCCTGGTGAACACACAGAATTTTATAGCTTGAATGGTTTTGCATGTAGCTAAATGATAAATAAAAAAAGTTAGTACTTTTAAAAATATTCTAAAAATAGATAAGTCAGTATATTGATGGTGCTTCTTTTTAATTACGTTTTTTTTTTTTATCAAACTTCAAAAGTCATTGTGAGAATTTGTAGACGTCAATTATTTGTTTAAGAGTAGTTTATATTTAGATAGGGCATCTTTTCCTGCTTTATTAATTCTTTTATATTAAATGTTGATTTGAATTTAGATCTACCTTGAATTTTTTAGCCTATTAATAGAGAGATCATCTGATTTGTAAACCAGGGGTCATTGGTTAGATCCTCTATGAAAATTGTTCTCGGACATTGAGTCAAATGGTCATTTGGGTCTCACAGCTGATTTCTAAAATCATGTGGGATTAGAAGTCCATCATATTATGAAAAATTGGTAATGTTTAGTTAGTTATCTAGGAAAGCTGGATATGTTGAGTTATGGCAAAAAATGTGTTGGAAATTGGAAAAGAACAGACAATAAGCCAACAAAGATACAAGTTATCTAGGAATAAAAAGTAAATGAATGATTATGTCGTAAAGGAATCAAATTTGTAGCAGCAGGACTGTTAACTTTTATAGTATAATGTCCGCACTACATTTCTATTATACTGTAGCTTGACATTCTTAGGTTTCGTTCCGTTAAAATTTAGTACGGTAATTTCTGAACTAAATTTCCAATTTGACGTGATATTTTGAGGTTTCGTTCAGTTGAATATAGTATAGTAATGTTCAAACTACATTTCCATTTTGGCTTGACATTTTTAGGTTTCGTTCCATTCAATAAGGTAAAGTAATGTCCAAATTTAATTTCCATTTTGGCTTGACATTTTTAGGTTTCGTTCCGTTCAATATAGTATGGTTATTTCTGAACTAAATTTCCAATTTGACGTGATATTTTGAGGTTTCGTTCCATTGAATATAGTATAGTAATGTTCAAACTAGATATTCATTTTGACTTGACATTCTTTGGTTTCATCCCAGTTTGACTTGACATTCTTTGGTTTCGTCCCATTCAATATAGTATAGTATTGTCTGAACTAAATTTCAATTTTGACTTGACATTCTTAGGTTTTAGCCATTCAGTATAGTATTTTAATGTCCAGCTAAATATTCATTTTAACTAGACATGTTTAAAATAAGACAGTGGAATGTTTACTATTGTATCATATAAAAGAGTTTATTTTCATTTGTATAAATGATACTGGTAAGATTTTATAAAATGTTCAATAATATACTAGTCTAGATGTGTCTCAATTTTGCACCTGTTACAACCCTGTTGCATTTGTTTTGTTATTTTCTTTTAATGCCAAAAAGAATGTCTGTTTTCTGACTTATTTTACACTTTCAGTGCATGATTTGTAGTGTTTGCTGAATATAAATAATGTCTTGACTACTCAATTAAGTATTTGTTGATGATCATTAACGTTTTGAGATTTTCATGGCCACGTTGTTCACATTGAATATCTTTTTCCTCACCAATGTGGGTTTTGATTCCTGTTTATGTTCTTTGGATTCTTGTATGTTAGGAAGCTATCCACCTAGCTGATGTGGTTTTATTTTTTAGCTTGCTCCTTGTGACTTGAAAAATGAACTCCACTAAAGTCACCATGTGCCTAGTGTCAGTTTGAATTAAAAGTTCAACAAAAAGCATAAATCATTATTGCATTTAAAGAGAAACAATCTAGATAACAAAAAAAGCACAGAAATTTCATACTTTATCATAAGTAGACAAGTAAACAAGGAAATCAGAAACAGATATTTTTTTGTTTATTAAGATAGAGAGAAAGTAATCTCAAACTATATCATATAGCTATGTACTCGTGTTGTATTTGTTCTTCTTTAGAATGAGAACTAAAAGATCATTTTATGATATATTTCAAATAAAAAAATACATATTTATAGAAATTTATAAACAAACATAAACAAATACTTCTATTAGATATACAGTATATGTTTACAGTTTTTCTTTTCTGTCTCAATTTTTCACTCAGCTATTTTAGATGGCCTAATTATTTTTTGTTTGCAAATAATACTATACAGTCTCATCATTCAGTTTATTTCTTTAATCTGTGTAAGCTAGTTTTCTGTACCGGTACTTCTTTGTGGGGTGTAAATTATGCTGTTTTAAGAGTTAAAATGTTAGTATGTAAATTAATAGAAAAAGCAAAGACTTAATTGTAAAAGAAATCATGGTTTTTAAAGTTAAATTGAGTAAGGTGATATAAATAGCATCTTTATTTCCTTAATAGTTAATCTTAAAATGTTAGTTTCACCCTGAAATAAAATGTGTTTAGGCTTACTTTACAAAGTGAGTCATTTTTTCTGCCATATTATATTTTTATTTTTACTTCATAACAGATTATAAATAAAACATATCAATTGTTATAGTAAATATTTTAGCAGATATAGACCAGTTTATTCTAAAGTTATGGATCACTATTCAGATTTTGTATTATGTAATATATTTTGTAAGATGAGTTGCAAGAAGTAGTCGTGTTTGTATGCATGTATGCATGTACAGTCAAACCTGATTTTAAAAACCAGTTAAAGGAAATGAAATTTGGACGGTAGAGTATGTTTTCGGGATGTCTCCTTAAAGGAACTCCACTGAGGTCAAAAGCTTAAAAACATAAAACTTGAATTTCTTACATAGATCAGCTGGGGCACTGAAAACAGAGAGATACGGGAAAAAAATATTAAGAAATACTTAATGCCCTTACAATGTAGTAATGGATATAGTATTTTTGCGCTATTCAACACTTGTCAATGTTGGGTCATTTTCACAAAATAATTACTCTGGAAAAATGAAGTTAGCAAATGATCACAAGTTTTGATATATACAAATTACTGGTCCAGACCTACATCAAATGGAGCATTTATTTGGGGAAAAAATTCCAGTCTAGGCATGCCAAAAAACTTCAGTAGAGTTGCTTTAAACAACAACAACAACATAAACTTTATTTAGCTCAAGCAATATTACAAGCATGTGAGCATACAGCGAATAATACATTTGAACAAAAATACCTTGTGAGGTAAAGATGTATGATACTTTTTCACATTTAAGCTCAAAAGGGAAAACATAATAGCAACCTTTTATGACAGGATTTCTATGTGTGGTATTTAAATACAGATTTGACTGTATGGCAATAATTTTGTCTTTGTGTGTAATACCATAAACAATCATGTTTTAATTATATATATGTATATGCTTCCGACCACTGTTAAGCAATAAAAAAAATGAAAAAATCAGTGTCTGTGTTGGAATGTTCTTCTTATTCACCCAGTCACACATTGATTGGAGCACTTTAGCAGCTAAGAAACGCTAGAAGTTCCCAAGTCAATCTTTGTAGTAATAAAAATTGTTTTTTTACAGTATTATACAGCGACTTTTTACATAAAACTGTTAAACCCCTTTCTTAAACAATGACACAGTCAAAATATGCTTGTACAACATATATTGTTCCATCTGTGGTCATAAATCTGTTAGTAAAGGCGGTTTAAAAGCTGCAGAAAATTTGACCCCCCCCCCCATGTCTAGGTTGTTAAGAGGTGAAGGTTGTTCTTGAATTACAAACGTTAATTAATTGTGTCTTAACACGGCTTTTCTTTAAAAACCTTGGTTGCAGCATGAAGGTCATACTTATCAATTATACTGTATAGCGTTTAGAATGAAAATGTTATGATCAGAAAAATAGTGTCTTTAGAAGTTTGTCTCCGTAGCCTTTAGACTAACAAACAGACTGGTATCTATTGGTATTACTTAGATACAAAGTTTAAAACTTTGATTTCAGTCGTATTCATATGATGCTACATCTCTGTGATTTTTTTAAGAGTTATAGTGTATTACTATCAACAATAAATATTTAAATTTTATTTAATATCTATTTTTGGTAACAATATAATTTTAATGGAACGGTTAAATGTGAACTTAACTGATTGAATTTATCATATTAACATGATTTCTTGATGCATGCAATATACTAAATATACATGTATGTTATGATGATGGGTGTTGAGCCCGAAGTCAGAAAGAAAGTACATGTATATGTTCTGTTCTGATAAAAAATATTCAGAATTCCTGTAAAATCATAAGTGAAAAATGTATTTGTTTTATACAAATAAAAAGTTAATCGTACCTATGTAGATCTAGTATGCAATGTTGAATGTATTTTACAGAATAACAAAAACTGCTGAGCATTAATCACAAATCTGCTAATTCTCTTAATATAGCACGCTTCCATTTTTCTTTCAACTTTCCATTATCATTTTTTTTCATGATATGTAATACGGGCCTGGCCAGGATGCACGGGGTGCAGGCTAGACGGGCTCTATACTGACGGCAAAGGCCAACCAGTTATGATTCAAGCAAGTTAAAGAACATTCACAAAGCGTATTTTTTTACTTAGTTTATTGTTTTTGTTTATAATTATATATATAAATGTTATATTCTATTTCATAAGATAATAATAAAAGAATACTAGAAATTTTAAGCGAGGTAAAAATAAATACCAACAAAATCTTAAAACAAATTATTAAGTATAAAGAACTCTTTTTAATGTAAGTTAAAGAAATATGTCGTATAAAATCGGTCTTTCATATGAAAAAGAAAAATACAAATAAAACATACGTATTAAAAATTTATAATATATATAAGTCGCTTGTGTTTTGCTGTAATACAAGAAAAAATACATAAAATATTTCATGAACACATATCTATAAAGACACAGACTCCATGAAATAAAACATGTAAATTGTATATATATACATTGTACTTAAAAAAAGAAAACTCGAGATATTCTACAAATGAAGTATAAATCCGTTCATCTCTTTGCCTCCAATTTTTATATCATACTTTGGATCACCTGAAAATATAATTTCATAATCCGCGAAAACGTCATCCGTACTTTCGTTATTGTCGTCAATATCCGAATATTCAATATCAGAATCTTTGTCCACATGTTTCGCAAAAATCGATGAAAGTGAACTTATACCATCGTCCGTGGTAAATACTAGATTATCTTCTCCTTTGCTGGGATACAATGTGTTGTGGTAGCTATCAACGTTATTTCTTTTGATTTTCTCGAGCGATCCTGAAATAATCTGTTCATAGCTTGTCGATTTTCTTTCCGGCAACGTTGTTTTCAAATTGTTTATTATGATTGATTTCGAGTGCATTTTTGTCATCGACTGCTTTGAAGATTCAAACAGGGTACTTGTGTTCTGCCTTTTTGAAGAGTGACACAACACAGCTTTTAGTTCTGCACGAAATTTCGTGCCGCTGAATACATATAAGATAAAGTTAAATGCCGCATTAGTGTAACTGATTAAGTTGACAATGTCATGTTGTAGTAATAAATATTGATAACTTTCCCAGGCTGCGAATGGATCTACATAAAACATCTCTATAATTTGCTCATGTCGGTATGGGTAATAGATTTGGAAAACTGCCACGGGTGTCATCGTCAAAAAGAAAATAAGACAGAGCGCAACCATGAGAACTGAAACTGACAGCATGCTGCGTCTCCTTCGGTAGCCGACTTTTCCTTTCGAGGTCGACATGGTACACTTGCGTTGAATATTCCGTGCTTTGTGTAAATGCCAAACAATTGACACATTTCCAATGAATAAGCACGAGAAAGGTAAAAGAAATGAGAGCGTGAGGTCCATCCATAGCCAAATATTGTCCCGAAAAGCTGTAAACTCTTTTGTCGATGGTGCGCATAACACAGGAGCCTGACCTTCCAAAGGCTGATATCCATCAATAGACGAAATAATTGGAATCACTAAATCAATTCCAAATATTATAACAAAAATGCAGACGATAACCATTCCAGCGTTTCTTGAAGTGCAACACAACTTTACCTTGTGTGGAGCGATGACACCTATAGCCCGTTCCAAAGTAACAGCTACCAATATCCATGATGAGAAGTGAATGAAAGTATATGAGAAGTATAGATGAATTTTACAGCCAGCATCTGTTAGATATCTTAGATCTAAATCCCACATGTACTTCATCCAACCTCTAAAAGGTGATGTCCATAAGAGACACAGATCTGAGACAGCGAGCGCAAGCAGGTACATAGACGTAGAGGAAATCTTTTTCATTTGTCCGAGTAACACTTGAATTGTCAGTATGTTTCCAAACGTCCCCCACGTGATGATAATAGGTGTTACGATTTTCATCAGGAGCACTCGCGTGTCTCCATAGAAACCTGGCGGGGGAGGCGTATCAGGCACTGGTTGAGAAGTAGTCCCATTTAAGACATTAAACGTCTCCACCTCTTTTAAAGAGGCGTTTATTAATCCTAACTCCATTTGTTTATTTTTGGTAGATTTCTTTTATTAAACTGATATGTTGAGGTACTGTTACTCAAATAGAAAACATTGATAGTAATATCCCGTTGAAGAATTTCTAACAGTACTTAAATCATTCTAACATAGCAGTTTATATATTTTCTCAATTAAATGTTGCGTTACTCAATTATTATTGACTTGTCACTTGGATATTTTCTCACTTTGCTTTGTCCCAGTCAGATTGCAGACAGGCATTACAATGCCGACCTAATGATTTGATGTAACGTTACATACATTTAAGCAGCCGATCATTCGATAATTTGATGTAATAGGTCCAACAAAGGAAAAGGAAAAGATAATCTTTATGAAGCGGACGTCAATTAAATATACTCTCAATTTTGTATAAATAGCTTAAGAAGATCGATAGGCGAGACATTTATTTCATGTTTGCGTTTTATACAATTAAAATATATGTCATGTGCGAATTGGTACTAAACGCTCGTTATGTTTTGAGCAAAGACAATCAGATTAACTTTCCTTGCAACAAAACATTCAGAACAACAGCAACAACAAATTAAGCCGCAAATTCCCATGGCAGAATTACGTGTATATTGTTTATAAAACTGTAATCTATCAGACGTGGTTACAATACAATAATGAAAGACAACTGTTAGACTTATAAAAATATTTTTTTTGCCAAATAAATTAAGGAATTGTTTAGAAATTTGATAATTATTATATTTGTATCGTGATTTAAATGTATCTATGTCAAAATAGTTTATTTATTATGTAAGCTTCTCTATGCAGAAAATATTTGACTGCTAATGATTTCTTGTGTCATTTGTCACCTTATGTTAATTGTATAATATGGCTAAAAGCATTGTAATGCTTAATTGCTAAATAAATGTTGTTGTTGTTTACAATACCTTCACAGCACATATATATTTATCTATCAAAGCTACTTTATATTCATGATATTGCTATTTTAGAATAATTTTACTAGACAATATTTCTACAGTCAAGAGAGGTATATTAAATTTCACTAGAAAGCATGCCATTAAGTTTTTTCAAATCAAATGTAATTAGGGTTCACAAATTATATGAAACATAAGAAACATTTATACATTTATATATATATTATATATATATATAATACAATTCCAGCTGACATTAAACTATAGTATAAACATTCATGATTTAAACTTAAAGTAAAAGTTTTTTTTATCAAAAAGCTACAGCTTTAATACGACTTTAATTGTAATTAAAGCCGTGGCACGCACTAATTAATTAATTATCTGACATTTTACGGAATTTTACCAAGAACTCTATTTATGTTCCAAGAAAAAAATTTAAGCGTGATTTTTTTTTGTTTAACATAGATGGATGAGTACTTTTTTCAGATTAATTATTACTTCGATCCAGTGCATATCTTGTAATCTTGAGTGTTTCTCCTACATGTAAAATTCTGTTTATTGCTGTTTATTTTTCCTTTCGATTATACATGTACGTGTATAGTCTGGGACTTAAAATAAATTTTATCATGAGTCCCAGATATGTTTTAAAGACGGGAGGCAAAAAAGGTGTATGTGATGTCAAAACAGTTATTTATTCCTAAAATCATGGTAAAATGCTCGTGAAAATCGATTTCATATAGTCAAACATTTAGTGGTGTTAGCTCATCACAATCATGATCAATTGGATGCTATTGATTCATTTTCAAGCCTTTGATGACATGGCCGGAATAGATAAAGTTAAAATTTTGGTGCTTGGAGATTCAGGTATTTGGTCAGGATATTGTTTATCAGAGAAAAATACCATTCACATCTAAAAGAACCGGTACACATTGAAAATCTTAAGAGACACTCTGTAGAATAATCAAAATTATATATTACGAAGTGCATACTGTTTCGGATAGATACAATTTTGACCATCAAATATTTGAAATAATGTGACTGAAGGGTGCTGTATTGATGGGTAAAGCATCGGGCTCATAGTTTTGAGGTCTTGAGTTCTCATCCCACTTTTGATAGGTCCTCTTTTTACTTTCACAATCAACACTGGTGCGATAGATGGTTATGCCATCAAGAAAGCCTTTAGGAGACTAATATTAATTAAATGCAAAGTGTCTGCAATGGCAGCCACAGGTGTAGAAAGTTTTGCCTTAGGACCGGTTGACTTAAATAAGTAATATGTAAATAATGGCTATAATAACCACTGACTGTCACTCCTGAGGTTCTGGGTTTGATCCTGCATAACAAACACCCTTGGGATTTTTCAAAAACATAATTTGTAACCATTCGTAGGAACTCCTACCTGCTAGTACATATGTATACTAGAAACAGTTAACTAGTCCATGATCTATTTCTGAGGAGGATAAAGTAGTTCTTAATTAAAATAAAATATTATCAGTTTAAGTTAGTACTATATTCTGTGACAAAAGCTGGTCTGCTGTTGTTTTCTGTTTACTTTACATATATCTCTTTTACACTGTGAAATGTCAAGGGAATAAAGGATTGTCTCGAATAAATCTTATTTTTCATGTCCAGGTGTTGGGAAGACTTCTTTAGTGCATTTAATGTGCCAGAATGAACCAACAACAAATCCCAGTTGGACGATTGGTTGTTCAGTCGATGTCAAGGTAGAAACATATGATTGCTGTTTGTTTGACTGATTAAGAAAGTATAAAAAAAAGTTAATGTACATGTATGTCTACTATCAGTGTGTTTTTTTTAGCTCTCCTGTCACAAAGTGACAGGGCGAGCTTTTGTGATCGCTTTTCATCCGGCGTCCGTACGGCGTCCGTCCGTAAACTTTTACTTTAAATGACATCTCCTCATAAACCACAAAGACAATTTCATCCAAACTTTCACAGGAATGTTCCTTTGGTGGTCACCTTTAAAAATTGTTCAAAGAATTTAATTCCATGCAGAACTCTGGTTGCCATGGCAACCAAAAGAAAAAAAACTTTAAATATCTTCTTCTTCTAAAAAGCCCAAAGAGCTAGAGCTTAGATATTGGGCATGAAACATCTTCTAGTGAGTGTCTACCAAGTATGTTCAAATAAAAGCCCTGGGGTCAAAATTGGCCCTGCCCAAGGGGGTCATTGATTTTCCCAATATGCATATAATAAAAACTTAAAAAATCTTCTTTAAAAAAAGCCAAAGAGCTAGAGCTAAGATATTTAGCATGAAACATCTTCTAATGGATGTCTACAAAGTTTGTTCAAGTAAAAGCCCCTGGGTCAAAATTGGCCCTGCCCCAGGTCATTGATTTTCCCTATATGCATATTGTAAAAACTTAAAAAATCTTCTTTTAAAGAACCCAAAGAGCTAGAGCTAAGATATTTAGCATGAAACATCTTCTAATGGGTGTCAACCAAGTTTGTTCAAATAAAAGCCCTAGGGTCAAAATTGGCCCCACCCCAGGGGGTCATTGATTTTCCCTATATGCATATGATAAATACTTAAAAAATCTTCTTTTAAAGAACCCAAAGAGCTAGAGCTAAGATATTTATCATGAAACATGTTCTAACAGATGTCTACCAAGTTTGTTCATTTTCCTTATATGTGTATAGCAAAGACTTAAAAAATCTTCTTTGAAAAAACTCAAATACTTAGAGTTTGGATATAAAGCACAAAGTGTCTTCTAGTGAGTGTCTTCAAATTTTGTTCAAATAAAAGCCCTGGGGTCAAAATTGGCCCTGTCCTGGGGGACATTGATTTTCCTTATATGTGTATAGCAAAATTTTAAAAATCTTCTTTGAAAAAACCCAAATAGCTAGAGTTTAGCTATTAAGCATGAAACATTTTCTAGTAAGTGTCTACAAAGATTGTTCAAATAAAAGCCCTGGGGTCAAAACTGGCCCTGCCCCAGGTATGTGATTGTTTTTGAATGTATGTGTAAAGAAAAAACTTAAAAAAATCTTTTTAAAAAACCCAACGACTTAGACCTTAGATGTTTAGCATGAAACATCTTCTAATGAGTGTCTACCAAGTTTGTTCAAATAAAAGCCCTTGTGTTTAAACTGAACCGGCTCCGGGGCCTATATACAGGTGAGCGACTTCAGGGCCATCATGGCCCTCTTGTTTTTTTATAGAACAGAACAGAGTTTATTTCATAACTTGTACACACATAGGTACATCGTTATAACAAGCATTTTGAAATATAATTATAGGTCACATATTTTACAACATTGTATTATAGTCATCCTATCTTTCTTTTGAAAGAGCCACCTATAGTATAAGAGAGTGACTTATGAACATTTCTGCGAAATCAATAAGAAAATTGCACTTTGAGGTACTGAGTTGATTAAGAAATAATATATCCCAAACTGTGATTTTATTGCTCAATAACATCACTGTTTGGAGTTTGGATGCGTAGCCCGAGTGATATAATGATGCTCATCCGAACAACAAACAGTGATGTTATCAAGCAATAAAATCACCGATTTGGATATACTATTTCGATTCTAACACAACATCAATAAATAAATGCTGCCGTACCTGATATTTAGCTAAATTGCACCTGATTTGTCTCCGTACTTATTGTCAATGCGTCACATTTTTAGTGGTTACGTCACATGTATAATGATTACGTCACATGCGTCAAACAGTGATTTTATAGCATAATAACACACACTTTCGAGTCTTCTGTGTTCAGTAGGGAAAAATGCGGGTCGTGTTAGAATAAAAAGTGATTCACTGCCTTCTAATTCACTCTGCCAATAACATGTACATAGATAGGACTCTTATGTTATATAGATCAAAGTATGTAAACATGATATCAAAATCTTAATAAATGTATATTTGATTCATAGATATATTTAATAAATAATTATTGGATTTGAATACATATAACATATTTAAAAAAAGTAAATTTATTGGGTAACTGAATATATTGGATAAATGAAAAGATATAATTTGGATCAGTTATGATAAGTTTATTGAATTAATCATTATACTTTTATTGAATTATTGTAATACATCATAGATCAATCAATATATTGGATACAGTTTTTGTAAGTCAATATACGTATTGGATTTATGTTTGTTATTATTACTGTACAAGATTTGTCAAGGCAATAATAATTATACAATATATATATGAATGTTTTCAACAGTTACATGAGTATAAGGCAGGTACAGCAGCAGAGAAGACTTATTTTGTAGAATTATGGGATATAGGAGGATGTACAGGTCACCAGAATAGCAGAGGTATCTTCTATAATCCAGTAAATGGTAAGTTCTAATTGACTGATGAAAATATAATTTGTATATGATAAGTTATAAAATAAAAAAAATTGTGAGTGGGTGTGGTGGGGGGAGGGGGGAAATGGGTTAATGTCACACCAAGGCAACATGGTATAAGTCAGTTATGGTAATTTACCAGCTTTACTGGTGGAGGAAGACCTCAATTGCCCCTCTGTACATTAATTCAGACACAGACAAGCATTTGAATAGAACCACCGAGGTTCTGTAAGCTAGCTGGATAGCTTTCTCACATGTAGAATATAAAGATACTGGTCTGGCTCGAACCTACAACAGTGAGAGGTAAATGGTTTGAAGTCAACAACCTAAACCACTTGACCATGGGTGCCCTTATTATAAAAGATTTGTTACAGGTTATATTCCATGTAAACAAGTGTTTATTCATGTATATGGCTGAATAATCTGTCAAGAATCTTTATAGCAAATATAGTGTATATAAATTATAATATAAACATCATGATTATCAAATGAAAACCCATGTTATAAACATGATAGTATTAATTTACACAATGCAAAGATGTATTTTTTATTGCGGGTATTATTTCTTTTCTGCCATTTGATGTTGGTCAGGGCTAATAACTTGTGCGTGAAATTTTACTTGCAGATCATTCTCTGACACTTCATTTTCCCAGAAAAATGATTTTTTGTTGTGAAAAATGACCAAAAACCGAAAATGGCACTAAAAATCTTGACAAATATCAATTTTCACTTAAACTACAAGTATATCTCTGTATTTTCTAAATATCTTTTGTGCAGATTAATCTGTTTTAAGTGAACTATACTTGAACTATGCAAGAATTTCAAATTTTATGGTGTCTTTTTTTTTAACCTTGGCATCTTTAAATTAAAAGGTACATGTACATGTATAACATTTCTTTTGATAGACTTCCAATTTGACAACTATTATTTAATGATTATTTCTATTGAATAGTTGATTATCTCCCTTTTAAGTTTTAGAAAGTTGTTTTGAAATGCTTTAAGTTAATAAGTAGTTCAGATTTATCTCCCTTTCAGGAATTATTCTTGTGCATGATTTAACCAATAGAAAATCCCAGCATAATTTAAGATCCTGGTTAGCTGAAGTACTGAGGAAGGATTGTAAATCACAAGGAAATGGGTATGTTTTTATATCTTACAAGGCTGTTCACTGTAAAGATAATAATTAATTTAATAAATATTTTTTTATTTTGAATGATCAGACACTTTATCACTTTCATATACAGTTTAAAATTTATATGCATAATTTATGTAGCTTCCATTTTCATTAAAGACAAATATAATTTCTTGAGAGTGATTATTACACACAGAGCAAGGAATGGCTTACAGTACCAGATACTGTATAACCTCGACAGAGTGACCCCCTGTGTAGAGCAATTTATACCTCTATTCAACAACATCATTATTTCTTTCTAAAATAAAGATTTCCACTATATTTTACCTCTGTTGGGCAACACCTCTTATCACAAGAGCTTGACATTCTAACAATAATTGAAACATATAAGCAAATAATACAATAATATAAGCCCCCTATACAATAAATAAACACAAGGAATGCAACATCTTTTGCACACTTGATACAAATTTTTATCAAATTTCACATGTGGAAAATCAATTTCCACAAACTTGTGTTCATTTATTGCATAGAGGGGTATATTTACCATTATTTTTAGCTCACCTGTCACAAAGTGACATGATCGCTTTTTTCGTCCAGTGCCGTCTGCCCGTAAACTTTAACTTTAAACGACATCTCCTCATAAGCCAATTTCATCCAAACTTCACAGGAATGTTCCTTTGATAGTCAACTTTAAAAATTGTTCAAAGAATTTAATTCAAAGCAGAACTCTGGTTGCCATGGCAACCAAAAGAAAAAACTTAAAATATCTTCTGTTAGAAAACCGCAAGAGCTAGAGCTTAAATATTTGGCATGAAACATCACCTAGTCAGTGTCTAACAAGTTTGTTCAAATAAATGACACGGGGTCAAAATTGGCCCCACCCCGGGAGGTCATTGATTTTCCTTATTTATATATATTAAAAACTTTAAAAAAAATCTTCTTTAAAAACCCCAAATAGCTAGAGCTTAAATATTAAGCATGAAACATCTTCTAGTAGGTGTCTACCAAGTTTGTTCAAATAAATGCCCTGGGGTCAAAATTGGCCCTGCCCAGGGGGTCATTGATTTTCCTTATTTGTATATAGTAAAAACTTTAAATATTTTCTTTCAGAAAACCGCAAGAGCTAGAGCTTAAATATTTCGTATGAACATCAACTAGTCAGTGTCTACCAAGTTTGTTCAAATAAATGCCCTGGGGTTAAAATTGGCCCGGTCACAGGGGTCATTGATTTTCCTTATTTGTATACAGTAAAAACTTAAAATATTTTCTTTTAGAAAACTGCAAGAGCTAGAGCTTAAATATTTGGCATGAAACATCAACTAGTCAGTGTCTACCAAGTTTGTTCAAATAAATGCCCTGGGGTTAAAATTGGCCCGGTCCCAAGGGGTCATTGATTTTCCTTATTTGTATATAGTAAAAACTTAAAATATTTTCTTTTAGAAAACTGCAAGAGCTAGAGCTTAAATATTTGGCATGAAACATCAACTAGTCAGTGTCTACCAAGTTTGTTCAAATAAATGCCATCGGGTTAAAATTGGCCTGGCCCCAAGGGGTCATTGATTTTCCTTATTTGTATATAGTAAAAACTTAAAAAATCTTCTTTTAAAAACCCCAAATAGCTAGAGCTTAGATATTAAGCATGAAACATTTTCTAGTGAATGTCTACCAAGTTTGTTCAAATAAAAGCCCTTGGGTCAAAATTGGCCCCGCCCCAGGTGGTCATTGATTTTCATTATTTTGTATAGAGTAAAAAACTTAAAAAATCTTCTTTTAAAAAACCAAAAGAGCTAGAGTTTAGATATTAAGCATGAAATATTTTCTAGTTAGTGTCTACCAAGTTTGTTCAAATAAAAAGCCCTGTGGTCAAAATTGGCCCGGGGGGGGGGGGAGGGGTTCATTGTTTTTTCCTATATGTATACAGTACAAACTTTAAAAAATCTTCTTTTAAAAACCCCAAAGAGTACTGAGTAAGAGCTTAGATATTTATCATGAAACATGTTCTAATGGCTGTCTACCAAGTTTGTTCAAATAAAAGTCCCTGGTTTAAAATTGGCATTGGCCCAGGGGTCTATATACAGGTGAGCGATTTCAGGGCCATCATGGCCCTCTTGTTTACTTATCTGCTTATATTTTTCAATTATTGATAGGATGTTAAGCTCATGTGCTCTAATCAATAACCAAAATATTTGTCTCCCAAAGAGTGTTGCAGAAGCTGTACTGTGATTACCTGTTAAAGTTTGGCAATAGCTAAAAGGTATATAACATAGGTAAAACTATTCATGCCGTATTAATAAGCCAAAGGTTTGACCAGTAAATCTAGGATGATTTCACAAGGAAGGTAATTTAGGAGCATGCTTGTAGATTCAAAGGATTACTGTCCATTTGTATATAAGAGCAATGCCTTTAAATATGACTTATAAAACTCTCTGGTTTGCTCAATTAGTAGAGCTGTAGACTGTGAATTGAGCAACACGGGTTCGATTCCCAGATGGTGCAGAAAGTCACTTTCATTATTAATAATAATGAAATCCATTCTATATTAATTTGTACTGTACCTCTGCTCTGGCATGAACAGAAGAAATATCAGTTCCTAGAAAAAGTGAAGGCAATAGAACTGGTAAACTGCCTGACAGCCTGCCAAGGAATGATGCCAGTAGCTGAACTGTGCTCTGGTGAATTCAAAATGGCTTACTTGCTGTGATCAGAAGGGTAAACTACAAAAACCACCATAAGGCTCAAAAACACAATAGAATGGAACCTAGCAGCACTTAAGTTCATATTAACTCACAAAACGTAATTTGTGAAATGTGTTACAAAACAGTTTTATGTATTTCAATTTTCACAGGAATGACTATGATCCTGAAGAGTTTGCTGGTAACCAGATCCCTTTACTTGTGATAGGAACCAAAGCTGATCAAGCTGAAAATATGAGAGATAAGGGAAAATCCCGAACATCATCTGTAGCTGAAGAGTTTGGTGCTGACCAGTTTGATCTGGTGAGTATTAAAGGGACATAACTGCAAACAAAATATCAATTCTATTTTTGGAAATAATAAAAAACATGTACAGTAACTATGAAAAAATATATTTATGAAGGATATGTATGTCAATGTTGTCTTGGTATTGAAAAATGAAAACTAATTTTGTGATTTATTTGTCTGCCTCTGTTGAATTTTAAACATACTTTTATAGCTAAAGTAAAGCTTAAAGTGAATTGGTCTGTAATGGAAGGTCTGCAATACCATACATAACAGTGGTTTTTCTCACCTTATTGAGAAGAGATCTCAGCCTCTTGATTTTGGGATAAATTATATCTAAAATTGCTAGTTTGGGAAGTAAAAAAGCTAGGGTAAGTTTTAGATTTTTGGGAAAACTGCATGATTTAAAAGAAAATTTCTCTTATATAAGGTGAAACATCACTGCATAATTATGTAGTAGTTCATACGTAACAAGAAAAAGTGCCCATTTTAGACCAATCCACTTTAAATCATTATTAAATGATAGATTTGCTGGAGAATAAGTAACTGTTGTTGGCACATGATCATTCTGTGAGAGTATTTTTTATAACAGTTTTATTTTTGAAAAGAATGTAACTCTGGTTAATAAATTCTGTATTAATCTTGCAGGATTGTCAGGGTGTGAAATACCTTGCCCCAGGGTCAACTAATTCTGTAAAATTATCCAGATTTTTTGACAAAGTAAGTACTTGTGTAGTTGACCTAGGTTTGAGGTGTTGTTTGAGACTTAAATTTCTGGTTATTTATAATCTTTATTGACGTTTCAAGCTTCTCCTCTTACAGATGAAAATGTTTTGAATATTAAAACTTCTATGACTTTTATTTTCTCCTAAGAGTCCAAAGTTACAAGGCAACATTTTCTCATGAAGTACCTTGTCATTTAATGTTTTAAGATATCATTCTTATGAAATGTTTCATCAGATAACTTGTTGCTATTGATACTAAGTGTATATGTTTTGTAAAAGATCCATTTACGTATATAGAGAGGATATTGGATGAGTGTAGGTTCAATACTGAATTTATTGGCCATGTTAATTGTATAAAACTAGGTTTGCAAGCGGCTGGCATACTATTAGTAAAATAAATTTAGTAATGAAGCTTTACAAATATAATATTCTATTAAACACATATTCAAAATAAAAACTGTTTATGGTAAGAAAAATCATTCTTTTTCTCATACATGCTTGAAGTGTAATCCTAACATTTAGTATATCTTTATCCTATGTTTGTTTAATGCAAATGGCATCATGTTGCATGGGTATGTGATAAAACTTAATAACAATCGTTATAATTGTTTAAGTTCAAGGCTATTCAAGTTAAAAAAATCAAGTCTGGTAGATGCTGTCATTTCTTATAGGCCTGTGAATAACATAAGTACATGTACAAAAAAAAAATCTGATGAAAAAATGAGCCATTTCATGAACGTGCAATAATATGCAGGTCAAAAGGTGAAATTACATTTGACAAGAGTTTAAATTAGCATTTTAGGTCTTCGATAGATTTGAAAATTGAATCTCATGTCATAAACCAAAATAGAAAAAAACTTGTGCAGGAAAAGGTTGGCATACATGTACATATTTCACATAAATGGTTAAAATGCATTCTCCTCGTTATTTTTAGGTCATTGAGAGGAGATATTACTCAAGGGAGGTAAGTGCTCTGTTTTCTTTGGTGTTTTCATATTTAAATCAGAGTTGTGTCCCTTGGTCTATAAAAAGTTCGTTTTTTTCCTCAGAAATGGCCTTCTATTGTATTATATGTTTATATGTGTCCTGAAGATACTATGAACTGGCTTATAATTATATAACTCTGTAAATAACTTCTTTCAATAAATAATTTCTTTCAGGTCACAATTATAATTATACTGTTTTAAACCCAAAATGATTTTGTTGATGTGTGACATAGCTTACAATGTATTTGATATTGATTTAATTGCTAGCTTTCTGCTGTATCAGGTTTGTTAATTAACATTACCATGTGGGCAATATTACATTTCTGAAAACCCTCCTAGGTTAATGACCTCATGTATTTGATATAATGTCTTGCCATCTACTAGTATTTCAAGATAATTTGACAGTTGGTTTGAATTTTTAACCAGGTTTTCAACGAAAACCAGGTTATTGTAATGCCGAAGTCAGCGGGCAGGCGGGCGGGCGGTCGTCAACTTTTGGTTTCCGCTCAATAACTTTAGTTTGCTTTGGCCTATTGACACCAAACTTGGTGTATGGATAGCTTATATCAAGAGGCAGCTTGGGATTGCGATCCAGGTGTCTGTGATCAAGGTCAAGGTCACTGTTACTAAAAATAGAAATTCAGTTTCCGCTCAATTACTTGAGTTTGCTTTGGCCTTTTGACATCAAACTTGATGAATGGGTAGCTTATATCAAGAGGCAGCTTGGGATTGCTACCCAGGTGTCTGTGATCAAGGTTAAATTGTATTTAGTTTCATGTTATAACTTGAGCTTGCTTTGGCCTATTGACACCAAACTTGCTGAGTGGCAGCTTTGGATTGCTACTTAGATATCTGGGAGCAAGTTCAAGGTCATTTGCTTACAATAGAATTTTTAGCTTCTACCCAATAACTTCAGTGCACTTTGACCTATTGATTGCTGTCACATCAAAACTTGGTCATTGAAAACCTGGTTTTCGTCGCATTGAGGTGCTTCTTGTTTTTTTTTTTTAAATGATACATTACTCTAAATGGTATAAAACATTATTGACCCATTTTTAAAATGAATTAATTATAATTTTGTCAAATATGCATTGTATATTATAATATTAATTATGTAGATGGTTCATTATTTAAGAAAAAGATTCCCTAATATACATTTTACTTATGGGTTTTTGGCTCGACTTTTCAAAGAAAAGAGAGAGCTATTGTACTCACATTTGGGTTTAAATTTTTGCGTGCAGGTTGGTATCTCCAAGAATTATGAATTGAAATTTCACAAACTTATTTGATAACAAAGTAGGAGGTCACTATCTAAGGCCCATAATTCTGACATGGAATTTGACAGAATTATGTCCTTTTTTGAGCTGAGAAAATTTCACAATATCCAGGCTTTTGTTTTACTATCAAGCACTGAGAACAGTCGACCATGCTGTCCTACCAACAGCTCTTGTTGTAACAAAAACAATTTTTATGGTGCAATTTTTATACCGTTTATAATGCAGCTGGGAGTTAAAGTGTAATGGTAGTTATCTTCTTTTAGAAAACTTAAAGAGGTTTAAAGTTCATTTCTCTTATTAATTTTGTATATTCACATGGAAATATGTATTTTAATTTCTAGTTTTCCTAATTATGATTCGTATATAAACCTAGAAAAATAGTATTTCAGAAATTATGCACAAGTCAATCGTAACAGTGCCATTTCAACATAAAGAATAACATTATATTATTATCTAGCACCAATTTACTATAAATAATTTATATTTACATTTAAAATGGGAAGCTATTCAAGAAATGATGTATCTCGAACAGTGATTTTCTTGCTAAATAAAATCACTGTTTGAGTTCGGATGCAAGGAATTATATCACAAGGGTGTAGCATGAGTGATATAATGATGTGCATCCGGACGACAAACAGTGATGTTATCAAGTGATATTTTATCACTGATTTGGATATATTATTTGGATTCTAACACAATTTCAAGAAATAAATGCTGACGTACTTGATATCAAGCTAAATTGTGCCTGATTTATTTCAGTATTTATTTTCAGTGTTGCATTGTTAACGGTTACGTCATATGTGGAATTGTTAAATCACATGTCTAGATATAGAATGTCAACATAATAACACACATTTTCATACCTTCTATGTTCAATAGAAAACACTGTGGATCATGTTAGAATTTACAATAATTTTACCATCATTGACAAGACAAATAAACTAAATACAGTAAAAACTCGCTAATGAGACCAATGAAGGGACTTTACAAATCTGGTCTTAATAGCGGGTTGGACTCATTAATGAGTTTGGTCAAACAGAAAACCAAGCAATATATTAAGGGATACCATGTACTGTACACATGTTTAATTCTGGGCTAACATATTTTAAATGAGAAGAGCATACACTATTATTTTTTATTTTCATATATTTTCTTTTACTTTTTAACATTATAAATTTTTTCACAAAATTTTTTACAAAATGTATTATGAATGTCTTTAAACACAAACATATTTTTACATTCTAAAAAATCTTGTTAAAAGAATGACATGACTTACTCAATTAAATCACCATTTTACTACAAAGCACATCGACCAATCAACCTTTAATTATTTTCACAGTTTTCATCGCCGATAACAACTTCAAAAACCTAATCGTATCATGTTTATGTTTGTTTAAAATTATGGAACGAAAGAGATAATGATAGCAGCAACATCTCTAAAAAACTTATTGAAAGTTTTCTGTTCAATATTTTGTTGTTTTAATCCTCCAGTTATGACATTAAAGGTGTGAAATTAAGAAATTATCGACAATATTATTGATCATTTCTGGGTTTGATACAAACAGTCTGATCAGGATCCATGCTGTTTGCTATCAGTTTCTCTACTTGTAATAGGGTTGGTAAGCGAAGAGCATGGATCCTGATCAGACTGCGTGGATTTGAGGCTGGTCTGGATCCATGCTGGTTGCAAACCCATTATGTTGGTTTTGTCATGACAAGGCTCATATGTTCTCCTAACTTTTTGACTTTATGGAAGATTTTAAATAACTTGGCACAAATAATCACCATTGTGAGACTGTGCTTATGCTTAGATGCATGACACAACATCAAGGTCTTGGTTGGTAAAAGGTCAAGAAGTACACATTTATGTTCTCTGCAAAAGGGGATTTAGCTGTCCTTAAGACTGCCTTGTTAAGTTTGTTTCTCAGTACCTATGGCTAACCATTTTGTTAGCATTAAGGTTTGATTCTCAAGAAAACTATCAGAACTATTCATTTTAAACATTGTATATTTGTTCACTTTCAAAATAAGAATAAAACTGTGATCTATCAGTTACACAAAGATACTCACTTCAAATCTGAAATCATGTTCATTATCAAAAGTAAAGTAAGACTAAGGCCTTTTGCAGAATGATGCTCCCTTTTAACTTCCATTTATTGTACTATCAAGCATTGAGATAAAGTGAAGGGGATTGAGAGCCTTGTTGTTCCCCGCCTTATATAATGATTTTGAAAATACATTGCACAAAGGTTCACAATAATGGGATGTCATGTTATCATCGTCCGTTAACCTTTAAATAACATCTCCTCATAAACCATTGAGCCAATTTTTTTATCCAAACAGAAATGTTCTTTTGGTGGTCACCTTTGATATTTGTTCACAGAATTTAATTCCATGCAGAACTCTGGTTGTCATGGCAACCAAAAGAAGAAAATCTTCTTTAAAAAAACCCAAAAAGCTAGAGCTTAGATATTTGGCATGAAACATCTTCTAGTAAGTGTCTCCCAATATTGTTCAAATATAAGCCCTGGGGTCAAAATTGGACCCGTCCCTGGGGGTCATTAAAACGTGATCGGTCAGTAAAAATGGACGTACAATTCAAATTCTAACAAAGAGAAATTCATTTTTTGTGATTTTAAAGGATATATATGTAATAAAAATATTAGTCTTTAGCACGGATTTATAGTGGAACATTTCAAGTATGATTTAGTATGGGTGGATCAAGAAATAAAAAAAGGAAAGAGAGGAATAGCAGTGATAATGACAATTTAACTGATGGAAATAGAAAACTGTTTAAACAAAGAGGCCCGTCAAGTGATTCAGATAATAATGTTTCAGTAAGTGACTTGTTAAATCAGACTAATGCAGTTTTATACAATGTTGATAGCAATAATGTTTTTGAGATAAATTCAGAACCTGAGAATATTGTGTTCAAAAATATGGCGGCAAACAGTGAGCCAACAAATAAGGATTTAATGAATTGCCTTCAGAATATAAGTTCAAGGCTTGGTTGTGTCGAGAAAAAACTCAGTGCTATCGATAAATTAGAGAAGCGGGTAGGGGAGTTTGAGAAGGAATTAAAGAGTATATGGCTTGCGATGGAGGAAAGGGCAAAGAAAACTGAGGACAGAGTTATGAGTCTAGAGGACAAAGTGGAAAACGCTGATATAGGATCAGCTTTGCTAGCCAGCAAAGTGGACGACTTATCACAAGCTCGAGACAATATACAGGAAGAGGTAGCGTATCTGAAATCGCAGTCTATGCGAAATAATCTGATTTTCACTAATGTCCCAGAAGATTTTAGTTAAAGAAAACGAGACGCCGGAAGAGACAGAGCAAAAACTTAGACACCATTTACACACTTCTCTAAAAATAGCAAAAGACATGACAGACAGTATTCGATTTGAAAGAGTTCACAGATCTCCAGGGCATCAAATTCAAGGTAAAGTGCGAACTATTGTTGCCAAGTTCACTTTTTTCAAGGATCGTGAGTTTGTTCGTCGGCAGTGGAAAAATCTTAACGGTACGAGATTCAGTATGTATGAACAATTTCCACAAGAAATCATCGCCAAACGCCGGAAGTTAGTGCCGAAGATGAAGGAGGCCAGAGACCAAGGTAAAAAAGCTTGGATTGCGTACGATACTTTGTTACATTGATGGACGACCAATTAGGGACTAGGGGTATGAAGGAGAGGAACTTTCTATTATTTCATGGAATGTGCACGGGCTCACGAACGATAAAAAGTCTTGTTCAAACTTTTTAGATATTATAACTAATAGTGACATTTGTTTTCTGTATGAAACATGGACCAATTCCTTAAGCAATATTACTCTTAACGGTTATGTTTCGCATCATTACTATAGAAAATTTCAAAACAGGAATCTCGAAGATGTAGCGGTGGTTTAGTTTTGTATTACAAAGAACATTTATCCCCTGGTATTCAAATTGTTAAAAAATTATCACGATACTATTATTTGGTTAAATTAGACCGCACATTTTTTAACA